CTTAACTCTTCATTTCAAACCTTTTTCCTAAAAATTCTGACTCTGAAAGTTTTTTTCACGCGGACGAGAAACTGAAACTTCAAGGTAAATGTTTCGTATCAGTGTGGACGAGTCCTCGCTCTGTTCACACACACACACACACACACACACACACACGATCCTGATGATCAAGTGAAAACACCTGAGCAGCTTCACTGAGACTCTGAAGCTCCACAAGAAATAAATCAGATAACGAACATAAGAATTAAATCCTTTTGTCTTTGGAACAGGACTCTTCAATTCTTTTGTTCTATTGGACAAGTTAGGTTTGTGTATCTTGTATGTTTTATTGTATTTTTTGATGTTTTGTATCTATAATCTATTTATTCTCCGTGTGTGCTCAGTACTTTTTACAGAAGATCCACTGTGAGTCCTGTGAAATTATTTTTCATAGATTATATGCACCGTGAAAAATCACAATAAAATAATTTTAAAAAGAGAAAATATTATTTTGTCTCTTGTGTTGAGTGAATTTCTGAAATAAGTAAATGTGAAACGTAAGCGTTAACAGACACTTTACAGTCGCTGCTACACAAACAACATCACTTCTTTTACGTTTACATGGACACCAATAATCTGACTTTGACCTTATTCTGAAAGAGACGTCACATGAGCTGCTCACAGAACTTCCTGTTTACACAGAGTCTGATTACGGCCTCATCCACACGACTAGAGATTTATTCTTAAACAGATATTTTACTCTTTGTTTCACACAATATCTCCGAGAACACTAAGACGACTACAAACTACGGTCGGTGTCGATAAAGTCTCCATCACCGACCCGTCACATACCAGAGACGAACGCTGTGGTGCAATAACACGTTCACACAGAAACCATGGTTTTTGGAAAACATCTGTTAAAACCTCGATTAGTGACGTGACAAGCTGTTTACATGTGACGAGGAACAGATGAAGAGTTTGATTGGCACAATGTCCTTATTTGTTGTTTACAACCCAGGTCATGTGACATCAAGCAGCTGGTAAATGTTGTTGTCGCACAATCCGGCGAAAACTCCAACAGGACGTTATGATGAGATTATCAGGATCCACATTTCTTACTAAGATTATTGTCTAATCTGAGTTATTCAGGTTCGGTTGATCAGCTCATGCTGGTTATTCTTATTCAGACTATTGTCTCAACCTGGTAAATCAGAATATTGGTGTCCATGTGAACACGTCTGGTGTCGTTACCGATCAACCACAGTGAGGTTGTATAATAACTGTAACTGAACCCACACACAGAACGTAAACTGTAGAATCAGTGTCAGTAATGTGAACTGGAAATTAGATCGTTTTTACAAACAATATTTTCTGGACAGTGGAAAACTGAAATAACTTGTTGTTGGTGAAAGCTGATCAACGATGGACGATATATAAACAATAAACTATCGAGAAAAAACTCCAGATGGAAGCTGCTCATTTAGATTTAGCTTTTTTTCTTCTTCCACAAATCTCTTTGAAGATTAAAGGATAAATTTGGTGTTATTCAAAACTTTTTTTTACAAATCCCATGAAACCCCCAAAATGTTTTCTGACTTCCCTACAGGTGTGTTCACATCAAACGTGAAGCACATTTTCACGTGGCGCGACGCTTTAAACACAACCCACGAATATATTCCTCCGCTGAACAAATGAAATTAAAGAGCAGAAACGTTAAAATATAGAACCTACACGTCTGTGGAAGCTCTACCTGAGGCTGAGAGGCCAGTTTGATGACTTCGCTAGCTTAGCTTGGGTCGGTGCATCTTCACGTCACTCGTACCGGGCGACGCAGACAGACCTTAGATACACAAACAATGCTTTCTGTTTTGGTGGACTCATGGGATTCATAAAGAATAAGACCAGATTTGTCCTTTAAAAGAGACTCAGTTTATACTTCTGCATTGAATCCACGTGTTGTCTTTTCTCTGTAGCAGTAAAATCGGTCTGTTCAACATTTATTGGCTCCGATTAGCGTCAGTCGTCATTTTGTTTAAAGTATAAACACACAACACTTCAACAATTCTACACAGAAGTATAAACCACGCTTTCACTAGCTAGCTAGCTCGTAAGCCTTATATATACGAATGACCTGTTTGCACCGGATAGATTTTACCCGTGTGATGAATTCAAACAACAAAACAAAGAAAATCTGTGTTAACTTCACTGACAAAAGCTCAAATTGTTAATTTTCTGGTTTATATTTTCACAAACACACATATTGGTTATTTACTTGACTATAGCTGAAACACGACAACTCACAACTGACAAAAATTAGTTCATTCAAGTTTGTCAGAAACATTTTGTGTTCTGGTTTATACTCGAGGTGCGGACCTCCAACATGGCTGCCACGCAAAAGCCCTCAGGTCAGTGTCAGTGCCACAGCACGATATAACTGATGATGTTCGTTTGTCTGCAGGCCAGCAGGGCGGCGCTGCTCTACACGTCGGTACTGACACTGTGGGTGACCACCTCCCTCATGGTGACGGAGCGGATGAGGTTGAGCTTCTGATAGAAACTGGCCAGATCCATGGGCAGTTCCAGGTCCTGCTGCTGCACAGTCCTGTAGCTGACCCTGCGCCCGCCGTTGCACAGCCTCTCCGGGTGCTGCAGGTAGAAAGGCAGTGAGCAGCGGGCGCAGGACGGGCAGAAGGCATGCGAGCGCTGGCACCTGCGAGGCGGAGGGGTCGGGGAGTAGCCGACCGGCCCATTGGGCTCAGTGAGGAAGGTGGGGGGGTAAGTCTCGGCCTCGTCGCTGTAGTGCTCCGGCGTCGGAGGTGTGGGAGGAGCGGACAGAGCCAGGGGGCGGGACGGCGACATGGTGGACAGCTCTGGTTCCTCCTCTTCCCCCTTCTCAGACTCCTCCCTCTTACAGCAGTAATACTGGTGCAGTTAAAGACAAGAAGAGAAAAATACAGGTCTGAGTCACTGTCAACTTAAAGGTCAGCTTCAGGAGTAATAATGATTCGTAGAACTGGGGAAGTTAAAAGACTCAGTTATAAACCACCGTCTCCAATAGTCTGCGAGGAAACTTCACGATATCAGGAACTATAAACAGTTTCAACATGTTTCTCAAAGAGAAGCCACTCGTTCGTGAGTGACGATTCAGAAAACAAATCTTTTTAACAAGCTTAGATTCCTCCTCTGCATTCTCCTCTAACATCAGATCAGGTTCATATCGTTCTTCTCAGATCCACAATGTGAGTTCAGCTCTGACACTAAGAGCCCGTTAGATGTTTCCTCAAAGCTCCGATTAGCCTCGTCAACTCGTGGAGTTCGATCTGACACGACACACCAAGAAAACACTGGTGTCTCTGACGCAGTCTTGACTTTCCTGTCCAACACTATAGAAAATCCCCTCCAGACCATCTGATGGTGTCACCACTAATCCAAGCGAGACGATCATGTGACACGAGGAAGACAACGTCAGAAACGTAGTGCACATCAAGCGGACGTGTTCCTTAACAACCGCGCAAACGTGACAGACGCACGGATGCATGTGGGCGGTCACATCTTCTAAATGCAGAATAAATGAGCCTGTATTGTCACACAACCGGCATCATGGGAAAAGTTGTGAGTCATGCAGATGGAGAAGTGAGTGACACCAACTTTCATCTCATGGATGAAAATCTGTGGAACGTGCACTGAATAGTTAAACAGTCGTACCTGCAACCTACATAAACACAGTACAGCGACGATGGTCAGTAAGATGACTGTAGCCAGAATTCCTCCTGCGATGACCACTGTCCCGGCTGACATTCGAAATCCTCTCCATCAACAGCCTGCAGGAGGAGGAGGAGGAGGAGGAGGAGGAGGAGGAGGAGGGTGCAGGAGAGGAGATGAAAGTGGAAATGGACCAAAAAGACATATGAGAACAAGTAAGGAGGTGTGAGAGAGGGAAAAAGAGATAAAGAGGAAAGAGAGAAACGGAGGAAATGCAAACAGATGGAAAGGATGATAATGAAGGGGGGGGGGGGTCAAGGAGAAAGTAAAGATGGAGGAAGGTCAGGGAGAAGGGAGGAGGGAAGAAAGAGATAGAAAAAATGAAGCCAACATATCCCTGTAATGGAATTATAATCAAATCACTAATTAAAACCAAAGTTATCATCAAGTTTCAGAAGCTTCCAGACGTTTTCCTGCTGTTTTCTCACTCTGACATTTTACAGGTGTTTTTCTAGGAGGCTGCAGGAAAAGTTCCAGAAAATGTCCAGAGACTGTGACTCAGACGTTTGTTCTCACAGACAGAACCTGCGGAACATGTGAGGAGAATATCCAGACTCGAGCTCATGTCTGAAATCATGTGTGAAAAATCAGCCTCAAAACTTAGGAGAGGAAAAGGAGAGAGAGAAACTTCAGACAGACCCTGAGCCTCACGGACATTGTTTGAAATGAAGTTAGCATTTCACCGGCTAACTGGATCCCATTAAAAACTTAGCATTTTTTAGTCGAAGGCGTTCGGCTGAGTGCTCCCACAGCAACCTGACAATTAAACAATGAGGCAGCCAACAGAGCGCAAACCTCCGACACCAAACCACTCTCCGACCTGCAGCTGCACCCCCCGGGTCTGTTCACCAAGTTTTATTCTCCTGCACATTTAAAAAGAAGAAAAGCAACTGTCTCGTGGTTAAAAGCTTCATTCTGTACTTTCACCGCTGAGAAAGCATCTCGGGTAAAAAAGGGACGTGAACCGTGAGTTTTTAGGAAATCTGCTGGAAACTTTGTGAGAGCTGTCACAGAGAGACGGCCTGAGGAGAAAAGCCTCCCGCATTAAAAACAATATACATGCTGTAATATTCATCAGTCCCTGGAAGGCTTGTGAGGAGGAGAAGGAAACAGACGAGATAAAGATGAGAGCGCGGAAAGGTGACGCGAGGTTCTTCTTTCTTTTTCTTGTCCAGTCAAGAAGTCTGTTTGTAATCTCCTTCAAATTACATCAGACTGAGACATTATGTGTTTTATTATTAATAACTTGAGCTTCATCTTTAATGCAGCAAATCTGGCCCCGGATCAGAATTAATTGTGCATTAGTCAGAAAAACACTGAAGGGACACGAGGAAATACTCTTCAAGCTTTAATGCGACGACAGATGGAAATTTAACACGTTTCCCTGAAGGTCTCGGCACTTTGTGCTCAACAGTCACATAAACTCACTCATCCCTGATCTTAGATTTTAATCTGAGCTGCTAATATTCAACTACTGCTCATGATTTATACAAGAAAACTAAAAGAAAAGCAAAGAGTTTAATGAACAGAGTCAGAGGAGCCATCATCTCATCCGCTCTGCTTCCTGTGTAGGTGTGACGAGGGTCAGCAGGAGGGTGTTGTGTCATTGGACGGTCGCTCTGTTCCGACCAAGATATCGTCAAACATCCTTCAAACAGCAGACGACTGTAAGAACATCTGTGCTTCACCTTCAGCTTCAGACTCTGCTGACGAGTTATCACCTGAAGACTCATTACAGGACGCAACGTAGAGAGACGAGAGGGAGAAGGGTCGCAGGGAGGGATGAGGGAGATGAGGATGAAGAGTC